GCGCGAGCCTCGGCCTCGGGCCGGGCTCCCCGAGCACCAGACGCCGAGGGACGGCCCGAGGGCCCTGACCTTCCAGAGCACCAAATAATAGCACTCCAGACCTATAGGTCTATATCTGGACTGCCTCAAACCTTGACAGGAATTACAGGGCAGTTTTTAAAACATAGGATTTAAACCATATATGATTTTCAATACATGATCGATTGATGAGTAAATGTATGCATGCACTCATCGTTGTTTTTAATACTACATCCCTGCATTTGAATTACATGATCCGCACGCGGAGCATGTGTAAAAAAAACGGCACTGTAGGTCTATATCTGGACTGCGTCAAACCTTGACAGGAATTAGGACGTCCACATCCTGGTGCTAATTTTTGGCCCTCCTGGGAGGTCAGGGGAAGTACGGAGCAGCGGGGGCCGAACCTCGCGGTGTTCAGCACGGCGCAGCACAGTACAGTACGGAAGGTTTTTCGCCATTTTCAGCCTCTGGGGGCCCCTAGTCTCGGGACCGTCGAAAAACAATTCAGGACGGAAAACCCGTCCAGGGGAAGGGGTCCAGACTTCCTGGGGTTGATCACAACGTCGGGGATCTGGGACAGTGAAAGCCCATGCCAAGAAACACCCTGCTTGTCTCCAGGGTACCCTGGGTTTCTTGGGTTTCGATAGTTTTGCCATGGAGGGCGTGACGTCCCACACCAAAGATCCATGAACGCCCCGGGGTCTCAGGGTGTGGTTTCTTGTGGAAGGTTTTTTTGTGGACTGGCCTCCGCTGTAGGGGCCCGACCACAAGAAACCTTTGGATGTCCGAAATGGGCAACTATGAACTAGGATCGAACCAAGTTCTAGAGTCGAACCGAAACCGACCTGGAGTCGACGAGAATCGAACCAGCGCGGAGCTGGAGCCGAACCGATCCAGTGGGCGAGCCCCAGGAGGTCCCCAGCACGAACATCCATGATGTGTGCCGGTGAGCAGTCTCCCGCAGCGCCTCGACATCCGCGTCGCCGTGAGCAGAGCCATGGCATGGAACACTCGACACTTTGGATGCCCGAAATGAGTACGAACAAACGTGCGCACGATGTTTTGGACGCCCGAAATGGGTACCGAAAGAATGGGTACAATGCCCAACAACAAATGTTGTCCCAAACCAACAGCAGCCACTGTTTGGCAGGCGGCCTTCTGTCTCGAATGGACATTGGCCGCGGCGGCGCGGACAGCGAGGCCTGTTCAGAATGAACAGGAACTGCTGTTGGGCATTGTACCCTTTCTTTCGGTACCCATGTCGGGCGTCCAGAGATGTCCAACAACCAATGCTACTTGTCCCAAACCGGCAGCGGCCGCTGAAAGGGCAGGCGGTCTTGTGTCTCAAACGGACACCCGCGGCGGCGCGGACAGGGAGCAGGTGTCTCATTTCGGGGGGGGTCTCTTCCAGGCTATCTTGGAGGGCCTGGGGGGGTCTGGGGACGATGTTTTGGAGGGTTCTCTCACGGGGGAGGTCTGAAATGGCTTGTCTTGGAGGGTCCAGACCCCCTGCCTTTTATTACGAGATCTGGAGTACTTGTCCCAAACCGGCAGCGGCCGCTGTTGGGCAGTCGGTCTTGTGTCTCGAATGGACAGCCGCGGCGGCGCGGACAGGGAGCCCTGCCCCAAATGAACAGCAACTGCTCTTCGGCATCGTGCCCACTCTTTCCGCACAACAGGGGCCCGACCACGAGAAACCTTCCACAAGAAACCCAACCCTGCGACCCCGTCCACTGATCTTTGGTGCGGGAACGCCACGCTTTCGATGGCAAGGCCACCGAAGCTCAAGAAACCCAGGGCACCCTGAAGGCAAGCAAAACGTGTCTTGGCATGGGTCTCCACTGGACTGGGCCCTCGAGGCCGGAAAATGGAGGAACAAATGCCCGGCTTGGAAAAGTCGCATCGTCGGAGATATGGGGTCCGTGTTCCCCGAGATCCGACGGCACGAACAGAACATACGACATCGTCAAAACTCTCGACCGAACCCCCGGTCCAATCCTTCTGCTGCAAGCTTCGAGCAGGATCGACCCGTGACCCAAGCCCCGAAATCGTGCAAAAACGCGAGACTCGGAACAACAAGTGCGACGCCAGTGGCCAGGATATCCAGAGGCCTCCCAGATGGGGTAGGAGTAGACGGGGTCGGAGGATCGCGCTGCATCGTCGATACATCACCGAGGCATGGACGATGCACCACCGAGGCATCGACGACGCAGTGCATCAACGCCGTCGGCGCGTAGAAAATCTGGCTCCACTTCGAACCCGGCCCATCATCGATGCATCGGCGATGCGGCACGATCCTCCGACCCCATCTCCTCGGACCCCATCTGGGAGGCCCTCGAGAATCGCAACAGCACAACACAATTCCCGACGGAGCCCTGGACCCCATCCTTCTGCCCCATGTTTCGAGCCGCATCGATCTGTGAGGGCCCTGGGGCCCGAAGCACCACGCGACAACGCTGATATTAAGAAACTTGCAGCGACAGAATCTGGGAGGCCCACATATCTCGGGGCTTGCGTGAGGTCGGGCATGTCCTCCCACAGGCGGATCTTCTACAAGAAAAGCTAGAATTTTCCAACTACCAAAAAGCATGGAACACAAACGGCCAAAAACATTAGAAACAACGTCCCCTGACTTGTTTGTTGACTCTGTTGGAAACTTCCTCCTGTAGATTGAGCAGGGATCGACCGTCCCGGCATTCCCATAGTCCTATCACGACATGTTCTCAGAACCCACCACTGTTCTAAGAACAAAACCAGTGTTCTTAGAACATTAGCCCGATGTGTCAAAACAAGACAGTCCCAGCCATACATGTTCTAAGAACATTTCGTGGCAACCACAAAAGGTTCTTAGAACATTGTGTGGTTAGAGGGCCACATGCGAAACCTACCCCTACCCCCCCCCCCCCCCACGATTTCTGAGGGGGAGGGTGGGGTTCGCTTCGCCCGGGAACTCCCGAACGAACGACGAACCCCCCCCTCCCCCTCAGAAATGTTCTAAGAAATTCCGTGGGAACCTCAAAAGGTTCTTAGAACATTGTTTGGTAGGGCTGCCAACACGCCAGCCTGGCCTGCGCAGGGGCGGGCGGGCCGCCGGGCGGCGCGAGAGGCGTGCGGGGAGAGGAGGGGGAGGAGGGGAGAGGAGGAGGAGGAGGAGGAGGAGGAGGAGGAGGAGGAGGAGGAGAGGAGGGAGGAGGAGGAGGAGGAGGAGGAGGAGGAGGGAGGAGGAGGAGGAGGAGGGAGGAGGGGAGGAGGAGGAGGAGGAGGAGGAGGAGGAGGGAGGAGGAGAGGGAGGAGGAGGAGGCAGGAGGAGGGGAGGAGGAGGAGGAGGAGGAGGAGGAGAGGAGGAGGGGAGGGGAGGGGCGCGCCCGACGCGCAAGGCTGTGCGCGCGCGCCTCGAGAGCCTCCGCAAGGAGAGCCCGCGCCGTTGGGCCGCCCGCCCCCCTCCTGCGCAGAGGCACTCTGCACCGCCGCCGTGCAGGGCAGGGGCCAGAGAGGAGGGGGAGGAGGAGGGAGCAGAGGGGAGGAGGGGGAGGAGAGGGAGTTCGGGGCCCAGGAGGAGGGGGAGGAGGAGGGGAGGGAGCAGGAGGAGGGGGAGGAGGAGGAGGGAGGGGGAGGAGGAGGAGGGAGCAGGAGGAGGGAGGGAGGGAGGAGGGAGGAGGAGGGAGGAGGAGGGAGGAGGAGGAGAGGAGGAGGAGGGAGGAGGAGGAGGAGGAGGAGGTGGAGGAGGAGGAGGGGGGGAGGAGGAGGGAGGAGGAGGAGGAGGAGGAGGGGGGAGGAGGAGGAGGAGGAGGAGGAGGAGGAGGAGGGAGCTCGGAGAAGGAGGAGGGAGACGAGGGTCGTGGAGTAGGAGGAGGAGGACCGAGGAGGAGGAGGAGGAGGAGGAGGAGGAGGAGGAGGAGGAGGAGGGCCCCCGGGTGGTGTCTACGCCCATCTTGGAAGGGGCCCTGCGGCACGCAAAGAAGTACACACACACACACACTGATAACAGGGTTCCCCACATTCTCCCATATCTCCGAACTCTTGTCTCCCCCCCCCCCACTTCCCATAGTTTCCGTATCTTCAGGGCCCCGAGATGCTACACAGTGCGGGAGCGGCCGCAAGAAGCCCTCGCAAAAAACCCAACCCTGAAAACCCGCGCGCGGGGTGCACCCGAGGGGAATGCCAGAGCACCCTGAACGCAGCAGCTTCTTCAATTCTTGAAGGGGCCTTGCGACACACAAAGAAATATAACCACATAACAGGATTCCCCATCTTTTCCCATAGCTTCTAATGTTTGTCTTCCCCCCCACTTCTGATATTTTCCCATATTTTCTGGGGCATCGACGATGAATTGTGTCCGTGTGGTTTTTCCCCTCCTGGATGGTGTATGCGCCCTTCTGGCCGAGGCCAGGAGGGTCTGTAAACCATCCTGGGGCCCAGGATGGCCCCGCCTTGGCACGGTGGTGGTGTTTAACCCGAAAAGGTCTTTACTAAACCCCCAGGCAACAATGGGAAAATGCATATTTTTTTCCGTCGGCTTATTGCCGGATTGGGACCCCGACAGTAGTTGTAAATTAATTGTTCTCGTTGTCGTCGCCGGAGGAGGAGGAGGAGGAGAAGGAGGCGGGGGAGGGGGAGGGGAAGGAGGAGGAGGAGGAGGAGGAGGAGGACGGAGGGGAAGGCGGAGGGAGGGGAAAGAAGAGGGGGAGGAGGGACGAGCTTCTACTCCCCGCCGAGAGCTTACGGGGAGGGGGGGGGGATCATTAAAGACCCTCTACGGTCAGCTGCCTTCGTCGGACCCCCCTGGGCGCGGGCCGCCGAGCCGGCCCGCGTGGCCGCCGCGCGCGGCGCCGGCCGCCGCCGCCCCCCCCTCTCAGAAGAGCAGGCCGCCGGGGCCGTCCTCCTCGTGGGCGGAAAGCTATAGGGAACCCACAAAGGAGGTACGCGCCCAACTATGTACATGAACACGGCCCCTCGATCCGCGAGACCCGCCGCGTGATGCGAGCATTCGCGCAGTGAGTGCTCCCGAAACCAGCGCGGATTCATGTACGTGTACGTCCTTCTTTTTCGCTCCTGAAACTAGGGGGACGAACACTAGCATAAACACAACAACTCGGAGGTCCGCGCGGATTTCTCGGATCCACGCTGGACCCCCCTCTCTGGCGCGCGGAGCGCGCCAAGGGCGGCGCCGGAGGCGCCATTAGGGGACATCCACGTTGTCATGTCTATGTCAATTTTCGTTTCCCTGGAACAACGTATCTTGGTATCGCTCGGCCCTGAGATCCTGGAGCTGCAGTTTTTGCACAACCGGCGCTTTCGGATGGGCTTTTTTCGTCATGTTCGGCCTCCTGGAGCCCCTGCCGGGCCTCGGGACCGTTAAAAAAAGACTCAGGATAGAAAACTAGTCCCAGGGAAGGGGTCCAGACAACCTGGGGTCGACATTATGGAAAAAAACACAACGTCGGGGGTCTGGGGAGCCCTGAGATCCTGGCGTTGCAATTTTTTCGCAACGGTCGTTTTCGCATAGTTTCGAGCCCTGGGACCCTCCCAGATCGATCGGGCTCGAGAAATGGCGCTTGAAGGATGGGGTCTGGGGCTCCGGGCGTGATGTTTTACGATGTCGCATCTTTTCCCTACGTCTGATCTCAGGGATCTTGCCATCGCTCGGAAACCCTGAACCCAAAAAGGTTGCCATCTCTGGGGAGGTCGACTTTTGAACCCTGAGCCCAAAGAGGATGTCATTCGGTGGTGGACAAACCTCCGTAATTCGGGGATGGACAGACCTCCCTTTAGTAAAACGTGGTTTAGTGAAAACGACCTGCGGCCCAAACCTGGCGGGCGCAAGCCTGGAAAATAACGGCCACGGCGCCCTCTCGAGAGCCGAAAACGGACAATTCACTAATCGACGTGTCACTGTTGGGGGTTCTGTCCACCCCCGAGTAATTAGTTAACCTCCCCTCAGTGAAAACGGCCCGGGACCGAAGCCGACGGACCTGGACCCGCCAGAAGGACGGCCGCGGCGCCCCCTCTCGCGAACCGCAAACGGCCAATTCCTTACTCGACGTGCCAGGGTAGGATGTCTATCCACCTCCTTCTCGGCCGTCAGGGTATCCTGACGGCCGAGAAGGAGGTGGATAGACATCCTACCCCTACCCCCCACGATTTCTGCGGGGGAGGGTGAGGTTAGGCAACCTCTATCTAGGGTGCCTAACCTATCCACCTCTACCCTGCTTCCTTAATCGACGTGTCAGGGTAGGATGCCTATCCACCTCCGAAACATCTCTTGGGAGGTCGGCTTCTGCTTCCGCCGGCCTCCGGCGGCCTTCCGCCAGCGGAGGCCGCCTCGCTCCACTTCCGCCGCCCTCCGCCGCAGCAGAGGCGGCAGGCCCTGCGAGATCCTCGGAGACGAGGCCCTCTCTGGAAAACGCCCCGTGTGCGGCTCTATTTCTCGGCGCCGTGCGCCGCACTCTGCCGCGAGGTGCTCCTGCAGATGGTCTTCGCCGAGAGGCAGAGAGCACACGTCCGAGCGATTTGCCAAGGCATCCGCGTCCGCGGCCTCGCGTGAAGTCGGGCCTGTCCCCCTACAGGGGGATTTGCGACGACAAAGAAAACATACTCCAAAAATAATAACAAAAAACAGTCCGAAAATAGTCGGAGCTCCCGAACGAAGTGAACCCCACCCTCCCCCTCAGAGATCTCGGGGGGTAGGGGTAAGGTTTGCATGTGGCCCCCTATCCGTGCACCGTGCGGGCGCGGTCGCAAGGAGCCCTCGCAAGAGACCCAGCCCTGAGAACGCGCGCGCGCGGTGCACCCGAGGGGAAGCCCAGAGCTCCCTGGACGCAACAGCCTCTTGGACGGCCGCGGGAAGTCGCCGCGCAGCGCGCGGAGCGAAGAAGCCCAGGGTGCCCAGACAAAGAGCAAACGGTTCCTTCATGCGCGCCCCCACCGTATGCGTGCATCTGAATGTACTTGTCTGCGCGGATTTTCGGAGGATTGCACCGCATCGGCGATGCATCTGCGACGTCGGCGATGCATCAGCGAAGTCGGCGTGGAGAAGGTCGAGCTCCACATCGAGACGCATCGGCGATGCGGCGCGATCCTCCGACCCCATCTCCTCGGACCCCTCATCTGGGAAGCCCAGATTTTCGCCCACGATCTTCGAGGCAGCCCCCAGACCTCGAGTAGGGGATCGACTACAGAATTGATTTACCACAGAATTGATTGTCTCGTCGAGCCATGGGAAACTGCGTGGAAAACTCTGGATCACTTCTAAATCGTACCCCGGGTCCGGTTGTTTTAAGGCGCCTTTTGGGAAAGCAGGGGGGTCTGGTCTATTAGGGCGTTCCTTTGAAGCCGACGTGCATGGGGGTCCGGATTATTAGGGTGCCTTTTGCGCATGCATGTTCACGTCGCACGAGCGCGATATTCTCGAGGCTTGTGCTCGTTACAACCAGCCTGCGAAGCATCATCAACATCACTGTTATCAGTATTATCATGTTC